ACCCAAAATGGGAAGCAATTTTTCCTGTATTTGTAGTATCACGGACTAAGAAAAATAATGGTTGAAAAGCTCAAAACCAATAAATGATGATATTCTTTAAACACGGTATTCTGGAAGCAGCCCCCAAAAAAAGAAAAATTGCCTGTCCTTTTCTGAACTAAACTTTCCTCGATAGTCGATACTACCAGACTAAGCCCTGTAAAGTTGGCAATTTAACTCTCTTGAATATGTCACGGGCCAAATAGGTCCCAAGAAAAATAAGAAATGCGACTTTAATATTAAACTAATTTACGTAACTATTGTAAGAAGTTGAATTGGTAGATATGTTCCCTTTAATATTTTTTCTCTTATAAAATTTAGAGTCTCTTTCTAGAGAAGAAAAAAAGGGGGGGGGGGGGGGGGGCAAATATTTGGTCCGATAGGAGTGAGCGCCATTTCCAATTAATACTGGCGGTTGACGATTGAGATTTCTGTGAAAAAGTCTTGCATCTAAAAGTCGCATGTAGTCGCCAGACAACAGTTGTAGAGATTTTAGTAGTTTCAAAGGAGTTGTTGGAAATTGCATACAGAGGGAAAAAAAATACTCCCTCCGTCCCACTTTGATAGTCCTGTTTCTTTTTTCACACAGTTTAAGAAAAAGTAGTTAACTTTGTTGGAAAAATAAATTTAGATTGCTATTTTCCTAAAATACCCTCACATTAAATAGAGTATAACTTTATGGGAACTTGAATTGATGGTAAAAAAAGAATCAACTCTCATTAAATGGGATAGGTTTATAGCAACAACAACTTGTATTGAATAAGGGTATTTTAGGAAAATGAAAATACAACTACATTCTTCAATTGGAAAGTGGACTGCAATTTGGGACAGACAAAAAAGGAAAACAGGACTATCAAAGTGGGACGGAGGGAGTATATGAGTGTTGTTGGAAATTGAATTCGATAGTTGAAATTAATGATGCTGCTGCTGAACTGATCCTCCAATTGCTAGAATATATATTATTTGTCAAATAATGATCGCTAGGACAACAATAAGTTCGACTACCTTGATGAATTCAAAGAGCAAATGTTTTTAATTCCTGGAGTATGGTTCAAATTGAGGAAAACATGTCTTGTGCTCTCCGCAATATGTCTTGAACCACAAATTCGAACCATACTTGAGGATTTAAAATAATTGTTTCTTTTTTATTTTTCTTTCAATTTATCTAATTTTTAATATTCATTTTTAAGATTTAAAATAATTATTGATTCAAAACTATTTATGGAAGTAAAGATATGGTTTTTATAAAATAATAAGCAAAAACTTTTTCTATTTTTTTGGATTGCTTCAGGGTTAATAAAATAAAAATATATTCTTTTTTTAATGCAACATGGCCTCAATAAGGGCATTTTCGGCATTAAGGGGATTTTTGTTAAATGTTTGATCATTTAAAGGGTGAGGCCGTTATTTAGATAAATTACAGGGATTGATTGGTAATATGATCAAACCTCACGAGAGGTAAATGTAATTAACCCTTTTTTTTTTTGTTGATAACAAGAGGTTGATACTAACACAAGCTGTTTCAGTTAATAAGAACGGATCACTTTCTTGTAAAAGGACCATATATTTGAATATCCTGACTGATGTCAATAGATAAAAACGAATCACCTTTTCATCAAAGGTCATGTGTTTGAATTCTATTATGGACGTGAGAATTATGTTTGTGAACAATGTATAAATTGGTCAAATTTCGATTTGAAATTGAAGCGTGGCCTTCTTTGTCTTGCCTCCATTTGGTTCCTTTGAGTTCCTGTGTTTCATCTTTTGTTTGGTTCTTATAAGAGCAGTAGAAATAGTATTCATGGGATCAAAATATACCCATCGTTGACCTATGGTTCAACTGCAATCAAAAATTTGAGAATGCAAATTGATTACATGCTAATTGAATGATTGTGCCAGTTCATCTAATCAATTTTGAGATTCGTTTTCCAATCAAAACAAACCTCGAATCTTACTTTAATACTCTCTCCCTTTTTTTTATAACTAACGTTTAAGAAATTTGCTCTAATGTACTTTTATCTGTCGTTTTATTATCCCCATACAGTATTAATTATTTTTTTCACAATTTTTCCCTTTTATCTCTCTTTTCCAATACAGGGTTCTTAATTACTACTCCTAGTAATTATTGTTTTTCTCTTTGTAACAACCCTAGTAATTATCTGCCCCTCCGCATTCTTTCTTCTTTTCTCGCAGTATGTTGAACCCCCTTTGTTCTTCTCCATCACGCCTCCCTCCACATCAACCACTTGCAATTCAACCATCTTTGGGGGTTGAAAAGTTGAATGGACCAAGAATTTGAAGATGAGTTAATTAAACAAGTGGTTGAAGATTCTTGTGAAGAAACAGGAGAGGATGAAGATGCACAAGTTGAAGTCGAATGTGCCAAAATACATAAAGCTCCATTATGTATTGATTTGAATGAACCTGCAAAGTTTGATTTTGACTTGAACAAAATCCCTGATGAAATTGGAGAAGAAGTATGTATTTCTCTTGAGACTAGTTTATATAGTGAAGTCCTTATAGTCTCTCAAAATATTTGGTGGGAGTTAAAAATGTTTAAAATTTCAGATTAAAAATTTAGGTGAAAATTTTTGGGGCTAATTACTCAGAATATCGTTGTAAAAAAGAAAAGTCGGACGTTTATGACTCTGACAAGGGGTGCTGCAAATTTATGGCTACCGGGCTGGCAACCAAAAAGGCAAATTTTTGTTTTTAAGCTCTGACACAGTCCGGCAGTGGAATTATTTATTTATTTTTTTTTAAAAGTCCCTGGCTGCTGGGCTGACAAGGCCCGGCAGCCAGGGACTTTATAAAAAAATCTGCACAAAACCTGCTAGATCGATTCTTAAGGGAAAAGGGGTTGAAAATATTCAATTACTACTTACTACTACTAGTATTTCATCCATTGATTTTATCTCACTAATATTTCAGCACCTTTCCATATAGTGAATTGCTCTACTAGCTGGTGAAGGCACCGGTTTTCCCTGGCCAAGTTTGCATTCTCATTTGCCAGTCTTGATTTTTCAGCACCACCATAAACTAATTATCAACTTTATTTCACCACCACCATAATTATCAACTAACTTGCATAATAAAGTGAATTGCATTAAACTAATATCACTAGTTTCGAAATTAAGCTATGCTAATTACATTAATTTTATGTATTTAATCTATTAAATGCAACTAGTATTTCAAATATTTAAATTGCCCCGACTAAATGGCTATCTTAATCAAAACTCAATATATGCCTCGTCAAATACATCTAAATTCATTTAATCGAACCTCTTAAAATTAATTCGTTCAACTAATTAAATCACTAAACTAATTAAACTAATCATATACTAAATAACATAAACTAATTATCAACTAACTTGCGTAATAAAGTAAATTGCATTAAACAAATAACACTAATTTCGTTAATTAAGTTGTGCTAATTACATCAATTTTATGTATTGAATTTATTAAATATGCCAATTTTAACGGATCAATTGCAATTAGAATAACGGATCAATTGCAATTAAAAAAATTTAATTGCAAAGCAATAGGATTTCCCTTTTTTTTGGGTTATTGAAGTTGGGAAGATTTGGGATGAACATAGTAATAGCGGATAAGCATGGTAATAACAGTTATGCAATGGTGGATGAGTATAGTAATAGCAGTTAAGTAAATATGAGAGTATGGAATATAAGATGATTGTATATTATTTTATCATACAGAGGGTCAAATTAAAATAATGACATTTTTTTAACATCAAACCCATTGTCCACACATTGTATATAGAAAGACGTGGTCACGTTAAAAATGAAAAAAAATTGGTTGATTTCTCTCCTTTTTTTTTCCTTTTCTTTTGGGGTGTGTACATAAGTTGATTCTTTTCTTCTTTTTTTAATAATTTTTTTTTTTAGTTTCTCCTTTTTGTACTTGAGGTGTGAAAATATCTAAATTATTTTAATTCTAAAGTTTCCAGATGGTACAAAGGAGTGGGAAGAAATTCATGCAAGTGATATCATCATCATGTGCAACGAGAATAATTAAACCACAAGCTGTGGAATCTTTAATTGGGCATAGAAGTGAGTTAGTAAGAGGCAAAGTAGGAATTAATTAAAGAATGAAGAGATTCACTATATGGAAAGGTGCTGAAATATTAGAGAGATAAAATCAATGGATCAAATACTAGTAGTAGTAAGTAGAAATTGAATATTTTCAACCCCTTCCTTTAAGAATCGATCTAGCAGGTTTTGTGCAGATTTTTTTTATAAAGTCCCTGGCTGCCGGGCCTTGTCAGCCCAGCAGCCAGGGACTTTTTTTTAAAAAAAAAAAAAAAAAAATTTCTGCTGCCGGGCTGTGTCAGAGCTTAAAAAAAAAAATTGCCTTTTTTGTTGCCGGACTGACACAGCCCGGTAGCCATAGATTTGCAGCATCCCTTGTCAGAGCCATAAACGTCCGACTTTTCTTTTTTACAACGATATTCTGAGTAATTAGCCAATTTTTGGTGGGAAAGTTTTTCATTTTAGAAACATTTAGTTTGGTGGGAGTTAGTTTGCATTGCTTTTGGCCTAGTAAAACAGCACCATTTAGTACTCTAGTGAGAGAAAATATAGGTGAATTGGACAGTTAATGAGGGTATAAAAGGAAAGTAATGTACAGATTTAAGCAATGAAAAACTTTTCTTAATTGGTGTGCAAAACCTTAAACGTCAGTTATAAAAAAAGGGAGGGAGTATTATTTCTTCCTCTTTCATGACCAACCGTTTCCACCCGACAAACCAGAAAACCATTCATACTTAATGTTTTGTTTCTATATAGGCTGTAACATCATCTAATAATCAAAACACTTATTAGTCTCCATCAGCTCAGACCTATTCAAATGGCGTGGATAAACATTTATGGTTTTATTCTTTGTTTGGAACCATGTTTTCTGTATTTTGACCAGAGGAGAAATAGATACAAACGCTGGTAAAATACTAAAATTTCAGAGAATTTTATGATTTAGCAGAGGCCAGAAATCTAGCCTACTAATCCTCAGGTTTAGATGCTGGAAACCAGCCACTTTCTATTGTGAGATTTAACATATTGTCCTCATGGAAATTAAAGTTTGCTAAACAAAAATATCTTCAGTTGCCATGTTTGCTAAACAGCAAAACCTCTTGGAAATCTCTGAAGGCAATTCTTTTATGGCATCAGTCAGTAGGATCATCCTGCTTTTACTGGTAATTCTGCCATCTAATCTGCCGTACTCAATAGCACAAAATTGGATAAAGGCAGGCTACTGGTATTCTGGCACGGAGTTTCCCATTGCAGACATAAATTCAGCTCTGTTCAGTCACCTTATTTGTGCTTTCGCCGACATTAACTCCAGCACCTATGAGCTTCACATCTCTCCATCTGATCAGAAGTACTTCTCAGCATTTACCAGTACTGTCAAACAGAAAAATCCATCAGTTATCACACTTCTATCTATTGGAGGAGGATCAGCTAATTATTCAGTCTACTCTTCTATGGTTAGCCAATTTTCATCTAGGAAGTCATTCATAGACTCATCGATAAATATAGCTAGGCTATATGGTTTCAAGGGCATAGACTTCAGCTGGCGTTCAGCAAGTACAGCTGCAGATGCAACTAACATGGGCACGCTTTTCAATGAATGGGGAGCTGCTGTGGAATCAGAATCAAGGAACAACAACAGCTCGAAGCTTTTCTTGACAATGGCTGCTCCTTATTCACAATATATTAGTGAAGCAACTCTCCCAATAGATTCAATAAGGAGGAACATGGATTGGGTGCATGTTTTGGCATATGATTTCTACACACCTGTAGCAAATCCAGAACATACAGGTCCTTCTGCTGCATTATATGATCCAGCAAGCAACCAAAATACAGATTTTGGTATGAATTCATGGATAAGTGGAGGACTGCCAGCTAACAAGATTGTTCTGGCTTTGCCTTTCTATGGCTATGCATGGACGCTCAGGGATCCCAAAGACAATGCAGTCGGTGCTCCAGCCAATGGATCAGCCGTGACAACAGAAGGGGACATGACTTACAAAGCTATCAGGGATTACATTCAACAATATAATGCTGTTTCAGTATACAATTCAACTTACGTTATGAAATACTGCAGTGTTGGGTCAACTTGGATTGGCTTTGATGACGTTGAGGTTGTCAAAACTAAAGTTTCATATGCAAAACAGAGGGGTCTGCGTGGGTATGCAGTTTGGCAAGTTCCAAACGATTACAATTGGGAACTTTCTCGGGCAGCAGGTAAAGAATGTACTTTCTGGAATTGGAACTTTTGTATGAACTGTATTAAAGACCTAGGTAAACTATGTGAAACTTCTATGTTTAACCTCGTTTTTCTTTCAACGACTTTTGAGAAAGAATTCGATTAACTCCAGGTTGATTTCAAACTCGACAGATTTAAGAAATCATTTGTAAGCCACTAGAGAAAGAAAAAAAAAAAAAGCCTTGACCTGCAAAGTGCCCTAACAACCAACTGATACTAGTACTCTTTACAATCTAACAAACCTAAAAGTTCCCAAAGCATAAAACAGAGTAAATATGCCCACTACTTCAATGCTAGTAAGTTGACTAGGTGCAGATCATCATAATCTAAAATATATTACTAAAGGGACATCCTAAGGTACTTCTATGTCCAGAGACATAGGCATCCCAGTACCTGCCCAATATCTGTCCAAATTTGTCAACTTCATCCACAACTCGATTGACAGGCAGAAGAAAATGGAGGATTAGGGAAATGGAGTAATCATAACAGGTAACAAAATTCAGGCACCAATTTGATATGAAAGAAAGGGAAAAGTACAAAAGAAGTGGTAACAGATCAAAGTTTTGATAGGTAATTTACAAGATGAAAACCACCAGGAATAGTAGCCCTAGGAACTACTCATATAACCTTCAGCCCTTGAACAAAAGGCTGCATTACTTTTCACCTCATGGAAACTATAAATCAGCAGGAACTTTTGTAACTTGAACTCTGTTACTTTAAAAAGGAAATTCTACATTCCTCATTCCTGGGCCTTAAGGCCTACTAATCCACTTCAAACTTCAAACTCATGCTTTGTCTTAGCTCTACTGCTACAACAATCCAAACTAGCAAAATATTCACTAAGAACTCAAAGATGAGACTAGAAATTTGGAGGAATGTTTCAGGCTCTAAAATATTAGGCAAAATGTGTAGAACACTTACTCTTTATAACAGGAAACGGAAAATGACAAAAAAGGAATCATGACACTGAACTCCAACTAAATATGCGTAAAGACTTCAAAATTATGCCATGGTAACTCCAAAATAGCCTACATGTCTCTTAGGTGTTCCAATTTATGCAAGAGCATAAAACTATCCTTGCCGTGCCTTTTGTGCATCTTAGTCTATGCCATTAACTATGAAGTGAAATCAATTTGTCAAGGAAATACTTCAGTTCTCCTTTTCCTCCTCTTCAATGACCAGACACCCATGAAAGGTGAACGAACCCCACTAATATGAGGATGCATGCACCTATGCAACTTTACCACTATTTTCGTTTTGATGACAAGAGTCGTTTACAATGTATTGTGTCAATAGCATAAGAACATTAGAAGAAGGTGAAAACATCCTTTCAAGAATCGTTTTATACCTTTACCACTTCCCCATGTAATCCTCTTACTTTTCTGAAAAAACTTTTTTGGTTGGTACTTAAATTTCTGGTCTTACAGCTGAACAAAGTAACAAAAATCAGCAAAGGAAGAAGCATATACTTTTGAAAACTCTGCTTCCTGTAGCAAGTCTGGTACTCCTCTTACTAGGAGGCTTTACAGTTTGGCACATCAAAAGAAAACAGCTTACAGGAAAAGGTACTTTCTTCAACTTATGTGCTAGTAGATTTTGTCAAAAGGTATCATCTAACTTCTTCTGATTATTTCACGTTTACATTTATTGGTTGCATCTTTTGAAGAACTGAGGATAGAAACAGAGATGGGGCATAAGCAAGTATTTTCAATGGAAGGCAGCGATTCTCATTCTCTACAAATGTTTAGCTTTGACGATATTAAGGCAGCAACAAATGATTTTTCAAATGAAAACAAGCTTGGTCAAGGAGGATATGGGCCTGTTTACAAGGTAATATTGTTTTATTTACCTTTAGATGTATACAAATTAGAGGAGAATAGCATCACAGTGAAGGCCACTACCAACTAACATTTTCAATGTCTTCATTTTTTTACTAAATTTTACCTTTTGGATTTAGTTCATCGACTTAAATTGGACATTGTTACAATTCCTTTTCTGTCATCTTTTGTGCTTACAATGAATGTGTTACCTAACAAATGGGTAAAGCAAACTTATGAATCGCCAAGGTGGTTACCCTAGCAAAAAATATTGCAGTCGAGAAAACTTAACAAGCATAATATTGTTAACTCTTGGATGACTTTCAGTTATGTTGTAGACATATGTATTTTTCTTTCTTTTGTTGACTAAAAGTAGTATACATGGAAGTAGATTGAAGTCTCACCTTGTTCCTGTCTCCGTAACAGCAAAAGCCTTGTGCATTAGAACCACTGTGAACATACAAGCTTATGCTTACAATTTGAACTAACCTGAAATGCTAAATTGACTTCAGTCAAACTATAATAGTTTCCGATGAATAGTCAAACTCATGCCAAGTAGGCCAACTTCATTTTTATTCACAAACTACATAAAATAGAATAGCGCGATCATGGTCAGAAGTTCCAAACTATTGCAGAAATAAAATTTTGGACCATAATTATCCAGTACTGAGAGAGAGAGAGACCCAAAAGTTGACTCAGATTTTTGCCAAAAAATGTCTATATTGAAAACATATAAGCATGTTTGGCATAATGGCATGAACTTTTTGAGTGGGTTAGGCATTTACACATGATATATACACAATGTACTAGCCAAGACTTGTTGAATGATGTCTATTTTTTAGGCTATATTATTAAACGGCAGAGAAGTAGCAGTAAAAAGGCTTTCTGCAACTTCCAAACAAGGAATTGAAGAATTCAAAAATGAAGTATTACTTACAGCCAGACTGCAACATGTCAATCTTGTAAGTGTTCTGGGATTTTGCATTGAAAGAGAAGAGAAGATGCTGGTATATGAGTACATGCCCAACAAGAGCTTGGATTTCTACATCTATGGTATGTCAGTGTACTTTTATGCATCATTAATTACTCAATGAGTAAATGAACTAAGACATCTCTTTAAGCAAAGAAGCATAAGAAATTCTCACTGAACAAGACACTGCTGCAACTTTTTTAAAATCTAACATCTGAAAACTAAGAGTAAGCAAAGCCTAGGTTTAAAAGTAGGAAAAAGTATTAAGTTTAGTGAACAGGTGATTAGGGGGCCAACTATCGGCCAAGTGCGGGCTTGAACTGCAATTCAATTTTTTGAATGGTTAAGACTTCTTGCTACAGAGAAAGGTTGATTGCTTGTACATTTCCAGTCGAGAGTGTAAATCACTATGTGAGCATTTGCCTTTACTATGCCATGTTAGTTTGTACAATTTACAAGGCAATCATCTCTAACAAGTGCTAAGGCCCTTGGTCAAATGAACAGGACATTTATGCCTCCTCCCTTCATCTGTCCTTTTTCTCCTGGAATTTGGTAAGTTAGGTTCACAAGATTGATCCAACTCTCAGTTTCTCCGTGAAGAGTATGTTCTACTAATGATTGTTTAATTGTTTGCAGAGCATCTCCTATGTCAGTAACTTATAATATACTTAATAAATTTACTGAGTTGTATAACACATCATATTATGGCACAATCCAGTAAAGACAAGAGAACATTGCACCCATATAAAATAGTCGGGCTGATCAATGCTCCTAAGGTTATTTGTGCTTGATTTCAAATTGGCTCCTTGAACATTGAATTTTGTAAATTTCGCACCTAAAGTTTAATAGTCCAAACACTAGTTCTCCTCATTCTGTTTAACTCAATGTGACGACTTGAAAACACAGAATCATAAGCCTCATTGGCTATATATGAACTAGGCTACTCCCACCAATATTGTCAATAAGGAAGAACAAATATTCCTCAATCTAGTTCAAGTGTGACCATCCAAATTCTCCTACCTGGTATATGTGTTAATAACAAAGGTTGCCTACTATAAATCTACATTTCTAAATCTGTAGTAAGAATCACATAGTATTACCCTGAAGAAGAAAAGGTGTGTCATCTAGTGCGGCCAATTTCTGCCCTGTTGCCTCCACTTGAACTGCTAATAGGGCAAGCCATTTACTGGAAATGGAACTAGGCCATGTATGCAATGATGTTTTCCATTCTTTTAATTGCAAGTCAAGTAAAACCACTAACAAATAAAGGAGAAGGAAAGGCCATTTTTGGTGGAAAATTTGCTTCTGAACATACACAGGATCAACTGAGATAGAATTAATATAGGCCTAAATGGTAAAAATACTCCAGGAAGATATGTGGATACAGATAAATTGGAGGAATATGGAGTTTACTTTTTGGCTTTCAAGTCTACTACATACTGGTTGCATGTTAAAATCGAATTGAGAAGGGATGTTCACATTTGGACTATATTAAAGCACAATCACAAAGTAAAAGGACAAAAAGACAAAGCTTGGAAGTTTAGTATCCGCATCAAGACAGACTGAAAAGTTAAGAGAGGCCGATGACACTTCCAATTCTTTTGTCTAGAAAAAATTACCTTCAGATCTCAGTGCATCTACATTTTAAATAGGGTTTCACAATTATACATAGCTTGGCATATGCACAATTGAGAACTAATCGCCAAGTTTACAGATTGGCAGACGAAAGTTCAAAGTAAATCCAGACCTGGAAAAGATTTAATTAAATGAAAGAATTAACGCAAGTAAACATGAATCCATGGAATCAGATACATAAAGCTTCTACCCAAATACTTTCTTTGGGTAGTACCAGTTCTAAAATTTTGTTTAATCAATCAACTAATTTAGCTCAAGGACTGTCTTCAGGTGCTTTGCAGAACCATGGAAGATCCATCTAAGTTTGGTTTTGATATTCTTTAGAGGATCACAGGTCCTGTTTTACTATTCTTGAATTGCGTACTATTGGATTAGTTTCTTGCATGCATAATTTTGTCCTTTTTTACTAATTTTTCTGTTATAGATCCAATCAACCGCTTGTCCCTCAACTGGGAACAACGGGCACAAATCATTGAGGGAGTGACTCAAGGGCTCTTGTATCTCCAAGAATACTCAAGACTAACAGTAATTCATAGGGACCTAAAAGCTAGCAATATTCTATTGGATGATCAAATGAAACCCAAAATATCAGATTTTGGAATTGCCAAAATATTCCAAAAGGACAAGGTTGAAGCAAACACCGATCGAGTAGTTGGTACCTAGTAAGTGAAATGATTCTACAACTAACCTAAAGAATGCTCTCATGTGGTGCTAAGCTTATGATGTATGCTGCAGTGGTTATGTTCCACCTGAATATGTACGACAAGGGATATATTCCACAAAATCGGATGTTTTCAGCTTTGGAGTTCTACTTCTTCAAATAATCAGTGGAAGAAAAAATACATGCTTTTATGGACCTCATTCAAATATAAACCTCCTAGAATATGTAAGTTATTGCAGAAGCATTGGTAGAATCACTAGAACTTGCAAACAATTTGCTCAAAGTATAACTGGATTGCAGTTATTTGACTTTTTGAACTTTTATACAGGCATATGAGCTATGGAAAAATGGAGAAGGCAAAGAGTTTCTAGATGAAACACTGGATGACACACATTCATCCTGCAAACTAATGAGATGCCTTCAAATTGCTCTTCAGTGTGTTCAAAAAGATCCAAATGATAGACCTAACATGCTAGAAATTTCTCATATGCTTAGGAACGAGAATTTGGATATGAAGCATCCAAAAAGACCAGCCTTCTCTATTAAAAAAGACGAAGGTGGAGATAAGTCCTCCACACAGTCAGAAGGAACAGGACAAGTTGATACTGCAACCATCACAAGACTAGTTGCTCGATGATGCTCATTTGCTAGCAACACAGTGTATAATATATTAGCCATCACGTACAATAGAGTTTTGAGTATGTAATTAACTACTAAAGTCAAATACATGATATTTAGCTACTTGTTTGTCTCTTAAAAATATTGAGATAGTTCTAGGACTTCAGAAATAGAACCAGACCTTATTGTGTTGAGCACATCACGTTAATCCTTTTATCCCATTCAATTTTATTCAAGACCTGCTTTATGTGAGTGGGGAGAGTTGTGTTCTTATCTATTCTTCAACTAACTACAAGTAATACCATCATTTTCAAGTTACTCTCTGTCATTGTGGCATCTAACATCCCTCTTTGAAGATATCCTAAACTTTTATCTTATTCTGTCCTTCTATCATCCCATGGAAGTTACCTTAACATTTTCAAGTTCAAAACTTTCCATGATGTCTTAGTTTCATTTCACCATGCATCCATTTAAATTCTTGCTAGCATAAAGCTAATACGGTCCTTTGAATTCATTAGTATTTAGTATAAGAATATATACTACTCTGTCTTTAAAAACAATAATAAAGAATTAAAAAAAGACGAAGAAAAGGCAGGTACCACTGGGAGTTGAATTGATGATTCAAAAGAAATATATCATTTCCCTAATTTTCATATTCTTTTGCTTGTTTCGACTAACATGAGAGAGAGAGAGAGAGACTATTTTCTACCAAAAGATGAAAATCTTGAGGAGGTATTTTGTATTTAAAAAATTTTAAAATGTAAAACCTGTTGCAAAACATATGATCAGTGACACACATCTAGTCCGAAATCCCAATGCAGTGTAGATAAAAGGCAAGACAAAGAAAAATGGCAGAAATTGAAGCACTTCCAAGATTTACTCGAACCAGGCAACTGATATTTCCTCAGATGGTTAGAGATATTCGTTCGATGCTGATTTGCATCTTTGTGTGCAAGACAGAATGACTTGAATAAATACTTGATAAAATACAGTGTATGCACCAGAGGTGCAAGAGCTCATACCTGTTGGACCAAAACAAGTGCATGTAACACTGCAATGTAGATCTCAACAAACAGAATATTGCACCTCATCCCCAAGGAGAGACATCTCTTTCATCATCAAATAAACCATTCTCCTGCATGCTTAGTAAGAGAATAAACACTTCTGGAACTTTAACATCAGCAACAAGAAGTAAAAAGGGTCAAGTCCCAATCAAGCATGAAGATGCAGAAGGGTTTAATCAATATGAGCATAATAGAAAAGCAAACGGAAGGTCTTTAGTCGACTCAAACAACATATGCTCCAGAGACAGACAGATTAGACAGAGAGAACAAAAAGTGAGATAAGAATTAATCTGTTTATCTTTAATTATATTAGTCTGGTTTAATATAATTGCTCTTCATGCTTTATTTAAGTTGCAGTGATCATATAGTGTCAAGACAGAGAGGGGGATAGAGACAGATAGTCAGAAATCGTTCGTTGCTGCAACTTGTATGGCCAAATTCACTTGGTACAAATATGCTTAGTGACTGCAGGTGAAAAGTTGCTAACGTGGACAGTTTCATTAGAGTAGATTTTGACTCAAGTTTTTTTCTTCTCCCCCTATAGCTCCAATTTCTGCAACATTAGAACAGCACTAGGAAATAAAAGATTTTAGAATCTCATATTAGATTAAGCAGATGAAAGAGGTGAAAGATAATGCCACACAATGAACAAGGTCTTGTGATGTATGTTTCCATGAAACTGTGGAATGCTTATTTGTAATTGGAATGCCAATACAAGAGTGAAAAATTGATATGTAGGAGCAAAGTTCTTTAAAGATTCTATATAGATATACATATTGTTGGATGTGGGCCAGCCCATTTGTGCAAGAAAGCAACGCTTGAGGGTTCCTCAAGCTTAAATACAAATAGCAGTCGCAAGATGCTTTCGGTCCTGGTGAGCGAGAGAACAAAAAGCCAGCCGCCACTTTTGACAGAAATACGAAGAGAGTGAAAGAGCTAGTGAGAGAGAAACTTCAAGGTTTTGATTGGAGGATGATTCGAAATTCGATTGAGACGAAATTTTATCTATGCAATCCTCTCGTCAGACTCTACTCATCTACCAGTTCAGATTTCGAATTTCCTTTTCGTTTGGTAATATCTTTCCAAATTCATTTCTTTGACAGTTATAGTTTTTGGGGGTGATTTTGTAGCAATTTTACTTGGTTGGTGGTGATGATATTATTGTCGTCTGAATATTTCGGATAGACCTGTGTATTTTCATTATTGTGATAGTGGAGATTTTGACTGGACTAGGTCCCGTTATTTTTTCTAATTGGGTTTTTCACATAAAAATCTTGGTGTCCTGTGCCTTCTATTTTTTTTGCATTTTATTATCACTGCTGGCATTATTACTTGGTGATTTGATTTGTTCCTGTTTTAACTGGTACTTGGGGAAAGAGAAATTTGTTTTGGGCTAACTCTGATATTGTGTGCCTGTACTGGTACCCCTCTCCCAACAAGTGTTATCAGAGCAGTCAGGTTAGTCTGCTCATTTGTACTGATTAAAAATGGATGATTCGGATAGTGGTTGCATGATAAAATTAAATTACACTAATTATTCAATTTGAAAACCCAGAATGGAAGACTACTTGTATTGTAGAGATTTGCTTGAACCTATTTTAGGGGTTAAAAGCAGACCAAGTGATATGAGTGATGAAAAATAGGCTGTTATGTATAAGAAAACTGTTGGTAATATTAGAAAATGGATTGGTCAAACTATTTTTCAACATTTTGCTAATGCCACTAGAGCTAATGTATTGTGAAAAAAACATGAGAGTATGTATGAAAGGAAGATCGGTTTGAACAAAGTTAGTTGTTTGAAACAGATTACTCGAATGAGATATAAGAATGGTGAAGATATGACTGAACACCTGAGTAATTTTCAGGGATTGATAAACCAGGCAACTACGTTAAATTTGAAATTGGATGATGAAGTGCAGGCTTTATTATTATTCAATTCACTACCGGATAGTTGGGAAACTATGGTGGTCTCCGTCAGCAATTCAGCACCAAATGGTGTGTTGACCATGGCTATTGCAAAAAAAGCCGTGATGAATGAAGAGTTCAGGAGGAAGGAACAAGAAATTGTCTATGAGTCCCAAGCACTGGTGACAGAAAAGAAAGAAAGAAGAGGGAGAAGCAAACGTAGAGGACCCCACAACAAGAATGACAAATTCAGAGGCAGATCTGAGTCGCGAAAAAATGTTGCATGCTATTATTGTAAAAAGAATGGACATTATATGAAGGAGTGCAGAATCCTAAAACGGGAACAAGTTGAGAAAAAGGATAAGGCAAAGGAAAAAGGTGATAAAGAGACTACAGCAGTTGCAGCAACTCATGATGATATGTTTGTGTTCTGTGTTGATGGTCAGGTGAATATTATTTATGATGACAATGATTAGGTAGTTGATTCGGGTGCATCCTACCATGTTACTCCTCACAGGCATTTCTTCTCAACCTACACCAAAGGAAATTTTGGATACGTTATGATGAAAAATGAGGTCTCATGTAAAGTTGTTGGCATGGGAGACATATATTTGGATACAGATATCGGGTGCCAGCTGATATTAAAAAATGCTCGACATGTCCCTAATATTCGTCTTAATCTTATCTCTACAGAAAAACTTGACGATGAGAGTTATCATAACTTGCAAAGTGGAGGCAAATGGAAACTCAGCAAAGTAAATCTCGTTGTTGTTAGAGAAAAGAAATAGAGTACCCTCCACTTGATACAAGCCAAGTTAGGGAAGGGAGAAGTCAATGCAATTCGTGATTCATCAATTGACCTATGGCATAGGCGACTTGGGCACATGGGTGAAAAATGGATTCAGACACTTGTTCGCAAACAGATCCTATCTGAAGTTAGAGGTAATGCACTTAAACCTTGTGTTGACTGTATTTATGGGAAACAACACAGAATTGCATTCAAAAATTTTCTTCCATCTAGAAAATTGAATCCGTTAAAATTGGTGCACACTGATGTTTGCTATATGAAAGATAAGTCTCTTGGTGATGCTATTTATTTTATAACTTTTATTGATGACTTTGCTAAAAAGGTTTAGTGTTTTTCTTTGAAATCCAAAGATCAGATTTTGGATGTGTTTAAAGATTTTCACAGCAAAGTTGAAAGAGATACTAGCAAGCAGTTAAAGTGTATTCGTGTTAATAATAGTGGTGAGTACAGAGGACCATTTGAAATCTATTGTAAGTCCCATAGAATCAAATTGAAGAAAACTGTACCAAAAACTCCTCAAGAATGGAGTAGCAGAAAGGATGAACAGATCTATCATTGAGCGGGTCAGATGTATGCTCCCTAATGCTAAACTGCCAAAACCCTTTTGGGGTGAGGCAATGAGGACTGCAGTTGATTTGATAAATCTTTCTCCATCAGTTCATCTAAATGGTGATATCCCAGAGAGGGTATGGACGGAAAAAGACGTGTCCTTTAAGTATCTGAGAGTTTTTGGTTGTCAGCCATTTGTTCATATTCCCAAAGATGAGAGGTCAAAACTTCATGTAAAATCAAAAAAATGCATTTTCTTGGTTTATGGACATGAAGATTTTGGTTATAGGTTATATGATCCTATTGAGAAGAAGGTGATCAGAAGTAGAGATGTTGTCTTTTTTGAAGATCAAACCATTGAAGACATTGATAAAGGTGATAATTCAAAATTCTCAAATGACATTCCTACTAGTTCAAATTCAGATCCAAATCCAATTCCAGTACCTGTTGATTTTAATCAAGGGGGAGTTGAGATAGAGTAGAGAGAGGATATTAATGATAGTGATAATCCTACTACTGATGAACCTGAGCATGAATCACCACCTGCTCCACCACCGCCACCACAAAATGAGATTAGGAGATCTACCAGAAAGATGAGACTTTCTAACAGATATAATCCTCATGAATATTTGTTGTTAACAGATGGAGAAGAGCCAGAGTCCTACGGTGAAACTTTAGAGCCTGAGAACAAAGAAGATTGGTTGCAAGCCATGCAAGAGGAGATGGTGTCCCTGCATGAGAATCATACTTATGACTTAGTGAAACTACCTAAGGGTAAGAGAGTTCTGAAGAATAAATGGGTCTACAGGTTGAAGGCTCAGGAGCATAGCTCACAACCAAAGTACAAAGCAAGATTGGTTGTGAAGGGATTTAGTCAAAAGAAGGATGTAGATTTTGAAGAAATTTTCTCTCCTGTGGTAAAAATGTCATCAATTCGAATTGTTCTTAGTATTGCAGCCAGTTTGAATTTAGAAATCGAACAACTTGATGTGAAGACAGCCTTCCTGCATGGCGATTTGGAAGAGGAGATCTACATGGAGCAACCGGAGGGATTCAAAAAAAGTGGTAAGAAAAATCTTATATGCCGTCTCAAGAAGAGTTTGTATGGGTTGAAACAAGCATCGAGACAGTGGTATAAGAAGTTTAATTCCTTCATGATAGACCATGAGTACCACAGGACTACATCTGATCACTGTGTTTATGTGAAAAATTTTTTAAATGGTGATTTTGTTATTCTCTTGCTATATGTTGATGACATGTTGATTGTTGGCCGTGATACTATAAAAATTGAAATCCTTTGCAATGAAAGATTTAAGCCCGGCTAGACAGATATTGGGGATGAAGCTCTGGTTGTCTCAAGAAAAATATATTGAGAAAGTGCTCAACCAATTTAACATGAGCAATGCTAAGAAACTCTCAACTCCACTTGCAGGTCACTTTAAATTGAATATCAAACAGTGTCCTATAAGTGAGAAAAATAAAGAAGACATGAAAAAAGTTCCTTATGCTTCGGTTGTTGGTAACTTGATGTATGCTATGGTTTGCACCAAGCCAGATAGTGCTCATGCAGTTGGAGTAGTCAGTCGGTATCTCTCTAATCCTGGTAAGGAGCATTGAAATGCTGTTATATGGATTCTCAGGTATCTCAAGAGAACTTCTAGATTATGTCTATGTTTCGACAATGGTAAAACTATACTAGATGGATGCACTGATGTAGATATGGCAGGTGATCTTGATAATAGAAAGTCCACATCTGGGTACTTGATGATCTTTGCAGGGGGAGCAGTGTCATGGCAAAGTAAGTTACAGAAGTGTATCGCCCTTTCTAGTATGGAGGCGGAGTACATTGCAACCACTGAAACATGCAAGGAAACTCTTTGGTTGCAGAAATTCTTTCAGGGGTTGGGTATGAAACAAGATAAGTATAGTCTTTATTGTGACAGTCAGAGTGCTATTCATTTGTGTAAGAACTCTACATTTCACTCTCGATCCAAACATATTGATGTGAGATATCATTGGATTCGGGAAGTATTAGATTCCAAGTTATTGACACTTGAGAAAGTGCATACAAATGATAATAGTACTGACATGTTTACCAAGGCATTACCTAAGGAGAAACTCTTGTTTTACAGACAAGAAGCAAGTTTGGTTGAACCCCCCAAATGAGCTAGAAGGGGAGATTATTGGATGTGGGCCAGTCCATTTGTGCAAGAAAGCAATGCTTGAGGGTTCCTCAAGCTTAAATACAAATAGCAGTCGCAAGATGCTTTCGGTCCTGGTGAGTGAGAGAACAAAAAGCCAGCCGTCACTTTTGAGAGAAATACGAAGAGAGAGAAAGAGCTAGTGAGAGAAAAACTTCAAGGTCTTGATTGGAGGGTGATTCAAAAGTCGATTGAGATGAAATTTTACCCACGCGATCCTCTCGTCAGACTCTACTCATCTACCGACTTAGATTTCAAATTTTCTCTTCGTTTGGTAATAGCTTTACAAACTCACTTTTTTGACATTTGTAATTTTGGGGGGTGATTTTGTAACAATTTCACTTGGTTAGTGGTGGTGATATTATTGTTGTTCGAATATTTCGGATAGACCTGTGTATTCCCATTATTATGATGTGGAGATTTTGACTGGACTAGGTCTTGTGATTTTTCCTAATTGGATTTTTCACGTAAAAATCTTGGTGTCCTATGCCTTCTATTTTTCTTACATTTTATTATCACTGCTAGCATTATTACTTGGTGATTTGATTTGTTCCTGTTTTAACTGGTACTTGGAGAAAGCGAAATTTGTCCTGAACTAACTCTGATATTGTGTGCCTGTACTGGTACCCCTTTCCCTACACATATTATATTTTTTCTGGTTTCAAAACGCCATAACCTGACTTTTATTGAGAATAATAAGCGAAAATCCTGAGTAATACATCACAAAGGCTCGAGCCCCCATGCTTGAACTTCAAACAAACATGTATTGAGCGATTATGTCCACTTCTATTAGTATTGTTTTGTTATTACCATGGCTTCTACTCTTGATTGATTCTGGGGATCGGTGCAGGGTTTTTTTAACTCTTAAGGGCAAACGTGGAGGCTTGATCGAAGTAGCCAAGTACTTTTGAGTGACGGAACCTAAAGCAAATTCCAGCCACTGAGAGTTCTCACTTCACCAAATTTCAGATCATTCGACAGCTGAAAGATTATGGTCTAACCTTGCCTTGCTACGCACCTTAGGGAGTTAAGTTTGTTTTTTAGATTCTATTACTTGATGACAAGGATAAAGCATATATGTGTTGGTTGCCTGCAAACGCCATTAATTCACACTGTTAGCTGGCTAAAAGTTTGTACATTCCTCCATTTCACTCTTGGGGTGTTTCATCTATTTCTTGAAGAAGAAACTAGATTGATTCCAGTATAACATGAGAACATTTCATAATGTCAAGGTACCTGTACCATCCTAGAAATTGTAAGGACACATTGTAAGTATGAATATCCAAGAACAGCTATCCGAGATATTTTATAATTAACCAAAATTGACGAGGAGTTAGGGTAAACTTTTCACTCTTTTGTCCCGATGTTGAAAAGGTTTAACTACATGTGCGCACGATTTTCCATTGTTTCTTTAATCTTTCTCTCGGAGAATTTGCCCACTTCAAATACTAAATATCCCAATATTGGCATTCCTAAGGTTCAATGCTCACCTAGGCCCTCTGATGCTGACTCACAGAATTAAGTGTCATACATTCGTAAATAGTATGCTAATTAGCTCACTTAGCTGACCCTATCTTTCCTTTGATTTAGTTAATACTTTAATTAAGCATACATTTAAAATAAACCGGACACCCTCACGCAGCGCGCGAGGCCACAATTCAACTACCAAAGTATTGCTATTACACCAAGATTTGAGATAGGTATAGTGACTAGGAAAAAGATGCAAGGCTAGGGATGGCAACCGGCGGGTTTAGGAAGGAGGAGGGTTTGCACCCCCATTATCAAAAAACTCCCCTTTCCCCTGCCCCGTCCCTCGATCTCGTTCTCCCCGCCCCGCTTCTTCTGCGGGTGCCCGCACAGAAAATTAAGAGTCTCAATTGGATTGTATAATTGATTAGTGAGAAGCGTGTAAAGAAGTTGGAGTCTAGAAATTTTATGCCTTCCAGGTATTAGGAATGTTAGCGAAGGATGTTGTTAGTGAAGGTAATATTTAGTTGCCAAATATTTTAAGTATGTTTTTTTTTTTTTTTTGTCAATACAGGATGTATTCCAACTTTGCCAGACTAATCACCTTGCACATGAAGTACCCCGCCCCTCAAGAGCACCCAGGCGTTAAGAGAGGTTCGAACCTTGGACCTTGGGACCTGAATGACTATCCCAAGACCAGGTGATCTAACCCCGAGAGGCAAGTATGTTATTATTAGATTATATAATATATTATATTTATTTATATTAACAAATTAAAGCTGGAAATGGGGCGAAAGTATCGTTTACCGCCTCCCACCCCATTTAAAATGGATCTCCGCCCCCGTTGCCATCCCTATGCAAGGCATTTTTTATGGCAATTAAAAGTTTGGGTGGGTTCGGTTCGATCTTCACCACGGGACCAGCAAGCTTTCGAAACCATAGGTTTAGGTCACTTGCAGAAATACTTTCAGATCACTCACCAACATAGCCTGACATCGGCAGAAAAATTTGAACATGCGATCTTTTGCGAGAAAGTGTCCCATTTTTACCAACTGAGGTATCTTCAGATCTAACAACTTCTTACTGCTTACATAGCTCCTAATAAGATTCTGTTTTAGAAGATCATAGAGCAAACGGTGAATGCTTGGTTATTCGCTTTTGTTCGCGCTTTTTTTTGGCCTTTCTGCCTTCCTATTTGAGCTTTTACAGGCGAAGTAGTCTACTTTATTCTGTTTTATTTTTTTATATTATTATTGTTTACTTTTGATTGAAGTCTGGGCTGGCCTGATGAAGAAAACCGAAGTGTATCCCTTTGTTTTTATGTTCTTTCATTGATGGTTGTTTTGATTGCAGTTTTGTTTTCGGTTATCTATTCCGTTTTTATTTTTTTTCCTTTTTATTTGAGATCTTACCGGACTTTAAGATCCTTATCTTGCAAATCGCAACTGATAAATGATAAATGATATTTTTGTCCACAAGGGAGTTATTAGAGTTAGGGAGATTTCATCTAGATCTTCTTAGATTTGTGCAACTGCTGGCCCTCCTGTGTGAGCATATTTGTTCGATGCCTTGACCTGGATGACATTCATTTTTTCTTTTTGGGGTTGAAATTTGGGGGTGTCTGATGCAGAAGGTGAAAGAACAAATTGTATTATTCGTTCACGGTTATTCTTTGTACAGCTTCAATTTGGCTGTTGCGTCATTCATCCTTATATTGCTAAATTGATTTCTTTTGCTCAAATTAAGCATGTCGCGAACAACAGAGAAAGGAAGAAGTGGGAGACTTTCCTTCAGCTGTATTTTTGGAAAGCATGAAAGAAAAACAACAGGAAACCTCGTGGTGTGCTTCACGCAAATGGATGGTTATGTGGATCCAATATTTTATTCTTTTAAGTCTTTTCCAATTTGGAAATTGATTCACCATTCTTCAAGCAGGCTTAAACCGAAAGAGAAGTTTGTCTGGCATGAGATAAAGGATGCATCTGATGCATGCACCCCACATTACTTTGCTATGAGTTTCATTAAGGCTGGAGGTTTGGTCTATGTTGTTGGTGGTGTGAAGGGCGATGAGGAAGAGAGGCAAACTGCCCCGAGAGTTCAGTTGCATCTCTCTCTGAACTCCTCTAGAAAACTCTAGAGCAGAGATTAAGCGCCCAATGCATGGGGCAAAGTATTACCCCCTTGTAGAGGAAATTGATGGTCGCATCTATGTTCTATCTGGGCCCCTGCCCAACTATGGATCTCCTGACATAGTTGACATCGGGTTTGAGGTTTATTATCCTTCAGAGGATAGGTGGGCTGATCTGCCGATTCCTCCTTTTCTCGAAAAAGGTAGTTACTTTGAGATGTTTAGGGGCTTCTTTTCATATGTAGTGATTGGTTCAAGGTTGTGTGTTTCGACTGGGGAATACGCGTGTGCTTTTGACACTGTGCAGTGGGAGTGGGAGGCTTGTGAGTTATTTTCTGATTTCATGCTTCAACCTGCCGAGCGTTACGTGCAACACCTAGATGGTTGCGGTCCTCCATTTTCTTTTGAGAAAAAAGCCATCCTATATAAAGACAATATCTTCTTGTGCATTATACCTGCCTTCCATCCTCCTGTCAATGCCTTTCAAATTTGTGATGAGAAAGCGGTAAAAATGCCACTTTTATTGGATGGCATGCCAGGTGGAGTTGCTGTTGATCTTGTTGATTTAGGAGATGATTACTTTACTGTAATGCTTTTTGAAGACGAAACAGATAGACATGCCGAAGATCTGACAATTGTCACTTTCAAGCTGCTTTCAGAAAGAAGGGGAGATGGAGCTCTGAGTTGTGCATTGGTAAGTACAAGGACTTGTAATGCAACAGAGAATGGCTTTACTGTGTCTCCCATCTATTCCTTCATATTGTAAGTTAACAAAGATTCCACAACTTGCATACCTGGAAACCATAGGGAAGGATGAGCATGGTGGCCATAGGGAGTGCCCATCATGCTGCAATACGCTCCTGGAACGATTCAGGTCTATAAGACCTCTGCATCTCTTCTTTGTGGTTAAATATTGACCCTGAATTGATAATTAGGGGAAGAGGAGGTGGGTGTTTGTGGGAGGTGCCTGGGTCGAGCGACTGGACTCTCAGGGCCAGGCACACCCATTTTCACTTCTAAGTTGATGTTCATCCATATCATGGAAATGGAATGTGTAGATGTGGTACTGAAAATCAGTCTCGCTACCAGTGTGCATTTTTTCCTCTTTGTTGGATCGCTGCAAGGACCTGATGGTGGTTCTTCCTTTCTTGCTTACACAATTCAGGTTGAGCGAACTGAGCACGCCCCCTAAACATATATACTCTTCTTGTTCTGAGTTTCAAACTTTTTAATAAGCTTTCTTTGTCCTGATAGTGTATTTTATTGTTAGTTATTAGTGAAGCTGCTAATGACTCTGCTCATGCTGTCTCTCTAGTTCTTCTTTTTATTTCATCGAGACAAAAAATACTCATGCCTGTCTTATGGATTCTGCTGATGCTATGAAAAGATTGCAGATTGCACCTTTTTAATTCCCGGAGATTGCTGTGCCAATTCTTTTTGTTCTAAGTCTGTATTCAGCAATTTAATTTTTTCACTCTTTTTTTTTTTTTTTTTTTTTTTTTTTTTTGGTTAAAGAACTTCCCAAATTCTCATTGGGGACTTTGTATGGCACAGGCAATCTCGATTCTCGAATGTCACAGCTGAGCATCTCCTTCGTATCAGATTTTTAGTTTTCCTCTTCTTTATCTTCTCAGTTCTCATACTCTCATTGCGCATGTAATGTAGACGGCAACCGGTGCCATCTACTTTGTCTAATTCTACTTGTGCCGTGAACTTGTTTGATTCCGTAATTCCCTTGTTCTTTTCCTCGTCTCTTTCCATCACTAATCCTAGTAATCCAAGTTAAGATAGCTCATAGCCAGACGGTGATGGACCCAAATTAATAATAATAAATCATAAATCCACAGAAATAATCAAAGGAAAAATAATATCAGTTACAAACTTATAATAATGATATATATATATATATATATATATAGAAAAGTGGCTGTAACTTGCATTCTAATTCTGTGATGAATCAAAATGAAAAAGGAGTTAACTAAACAAGAGGAAACTCAGGCTACAACTAGCCTGGATTAGTTTTTGATACTGAACAAACTCAAATTTAATGAGTTCTTTCATGACCAAAGTGATAAAATCTTTAATGAGGCAAATGCATATCCTCAGTTAGAAATGGTTTCTGCAACTTATAGGGCCAAATTTAGTTAGTACAAAATATGCCTTGTCTGCAGTACTAGAACAGAACTGGCAAATAGAGGATGTTAGAATCTCATATTTAGATTAAGCATACACGAAAGAGGTAAAATATAATGCCACACAATCAACAAGATATGCCTGTGTAAGTGTGTTTCCATGACATTCTGCAATACTTATTCGCAATTGGAATGTCAATGCAAGCAAGCTCTGCTTTAATATAGTTGGTTGGTCTCTTATGCAAACTATTTCTCGTACTAAAAAGCAAAGAGCTTGTAGTCAAACTCAACATTTACTGAAAAAATATGTAATGACACAGTTCACCTATCTCAAGTACACTCTTTGTTGTTGTAGCTATGAAATCACATATAACTACTAACAAAAGAGGAAGAGGGATAAAAGGGAATTACACGCCAATAAGTAGTACCATCACTTCTGATAGGAGAACTTCAAGAAACTGCCATAAGCAAAAGGACAATTAGAAGACAGCATGACAAACAGGAGAAAAGAAAAACAAGAGAGAAAAAGGGTCAATCTGAATATTTGATTCTATTAGTTGGTGGCACGATGAATTTCTAGTGGTTGTACGAGTAAAGCCAATAAACAAGTACCCATTGATGTTCAAGAAGTTTCAAGATCGAAGCTTTACATAAAATATAAGATGGGTATTGATACATCCACAAAATTCAGCCACTGAAGCAATTGAACAAGCATTTTATGTGCATTAAAAAGTGGTAAATCGGTGCTAGCAAGGGTACCATAGAATGCTAGCAAAACACAATAATAGTGTTAAAATGATCAATCCATAGCAATCATGTTAACGCTTCTATTTTCCAGGAAAGAGATGCAAATTTCGGGTGAAATCACAAGCTTAAAACTTAAGAAAAAAAAAAAAGGTAGGAGGGTAAAGCCTTTCATGAAAACAATCATCTGGGCAGGTCTGGCATCCAGTAATGGTTGGCAAGCCAAATGGTATACCGAAGGATACGAATCAAAGTAGCATTTCGTTTGCCATTTCTAGCTTTCTATCTTATCATAGCTAAACCAACATTCCCGCCATTATCATTTGATGTTGTGATATTTATTGGATAAATCAGGTATAAAACATAAGAAGTTAGTTTAACGACAGATATCCACCTTTTAGAAAACCATCACCGTTCACTTCAATCTAAAAGAGACCAAGCTTAAAAAGAGGCAAACTAGAATACGATTCACAAGTTTTTAGACCATTTTGAGAATTCCAACTTGGCAATGTAGCCATGTTCATCTTGGATACTGGTGAAACTTTGTTCAATGGTAGAAGAAACTGAATTTGAATTTCAGGAATAAGTTTCCTAGAACATTGCGGTTACGTCTGCGGTGGAAAGTTCACTTTTGTGCCATGGTAGGCAGAAGCAATGCAAGGAGGCCATCTGTGTTCTGTGGGGACGCATATAGACAAACAGCAAAAAGATGCACGGGGTACGGGAGAAAGCCGGTTCTGAGCGGATGAAATAATGCAATACATTTTAAAATCACAATAAAAATCCTCTTAAAAATTTATTCATTATCTAATACCCACTACTAACCACCAGTCTTTGGGCTGGTAGCTACTATCAATACATTAAAACTTGGTGGGGTGGGATATTAATTTGTCATATTAAAGTGGCTTTACTTAAAAAATTCAAACGAGTACGTAGTGCATCATTCTGGTTTAGTGGTAGTTCAGTTTCCTCTCGATTATCTTTGGATCTCTTTCGATCCCCCTCCTCTCCACTAGTGTAGGATAATTTATCGTATCGAAAAAAAAAAATCTAATACCCACTACTAGAAAATATTCATCATCTAATACTTAGAAAATATTTTGTGATCATTAGCTGAAATACAGGTCTCAATGAAAGGGGAAGAGCGAAAAAGTGAATGTCAAAGAAACATGGAAAAAAAAAAGGGCATGAAAAAGTAGATAAGATTGTTGTAACGAAAAATTGGTGAAATTTTCAACATTAGTTAGTGAATTTTATACAGGTCAAAACAAATGTTGTCATAGTTTTTCTTTTTCAATTGAGTTTGATATTTGAAGTAATTGAAGCGTAAATATAAAAGAAAGAGTTGGAAACTCAAATATGATTAAAATAAAAGGAGATGTGCAATTTTGGACCATCAATATTTGGTCTATGAGTTAAATTAGTCCATGATATTTCGATTAAAATAAATATGGTCCCAAAATTTTTTATGTTAGGCAAATTTATGACAACTAATAGAAAACTACAATATCTAACAGTCAAAATCAAATTCGAATTATATTTTTTTGGTCCCTAATATTTGAAAATTTAATCAATATGGTCCCTTATATTTTAAATAATTATATTTCAAATGAAATAAAATGTGAATTAGAATAAATGCATAAAAAAGTGTTCTCAAATCTCATAAAAATCGTTAAAAGTACTACACATTGTCAAAACACTATCATTTAACCTATAGAGCATCTCTTCGTTAAATTAATTACAAACAAATGACAACACATGAATCATATATTTTTAAAAATTAGTGGAAAAAAGAGAATTTTAATTTGAATATATAGTAACTTTAATTCTAAACAGTATAACACAAATTGTTGCATGGTTAAACATTGTGATTACATAAACAAGTAAAGGTGATTATCAACACGAAGGATTCATATAAATTTTTAAAAAAAAAATTCTTGTTGTTTCTTCTTGTCTTTCCTTCGTATTAAATCAAATATTTCAATAATACAATTTAATGTATTTATATTTACGTTCATCTGAAATTGATAATTTTGTTGAATAATTTAAACAATTATAAAATCTTATTTCAATTGAAACTTAATTGACAACTAGTTGAAATGTCAAAAAAAATATTATTCAATCAATTCAATGACATATAGTTGTTCATACTAAAATAGTATATTTAATTAACTATTTTAATTTATCAAATATAAGTATTGGGCATTAGATGATGAACAAATTTTTAAAAGAACTTTTATTGTGATTTCAAAACGTAATTGTATTATTTCACCCACGCACGGCCGGTTTTCTCCCGTGCCCGATGCATCTTTTTGCTGTTTGTCTTCGTGTGTCCCACAGAACACAGTTGGCCTCCTTGCATTGCTTCTGCCTACCTACCGTGGGCAGAACAGTGAAATTTCCACCGTAGACGTGTACGTGACTTCCGTTCAGAAAAATCAACTTTCCACGGTAGACGTGACCACCATGGCTCCTTATAATATTCCAATGCCCATGAAACTCTTAAGACCCATGTGATAAATGTGAGTTCAGAAAAATCAGGATAAATAGTTTTTTTTTTCTTTTTGAGCAAATCAAAATAAATAGTTACTATACGTCAAGATATAAAATAAGTAGGAGGATTCAATAGACCAAGAGGGATTCGTATATACATTGGAGCTATAGATTGGGAGAGCATCCGATACTTTTGTTTTAAAGTGTTTTTTCTTTTAATTTTTAACGAGTTGAAATTTTATTTAACTTAGATTTGTTTATTTATTAAACTTTCTCGAACGCCCTTTTGTCGAATCAAACTCCAGTCGGCCACGAACAGGTTATATATTTGTTAACATATTTGATATTAACCAAGTCAAGTTTAAGAGTTTAACAAATCGAACTCAATTTTTAACATATTTGTTAACATTCAGAAGAGTTCTTAATCAATCGAACTCAATTCAAGTATAAAATAATTTAGTTCATCTTTTATCCCTAAAAAAACAAACGAGGACCATTCTCATTATTCTACATATTTTGTTCCTTGCATGTTTTTTTAATCACCTTTCTATTTTACAACACAGTATAACACACCAAAAAAAAAAAACTATATTACCATCTTAAAACAATGAGGTATTGAATATTCTGGTATAAAAATACCGCTGACTCTTGGAATAGTTGATTAAAGATATACTATAAAGCAATTCAACATAAAATTTTGATCCTAAGTTGGCTTTTCGGAGTTTAATGAATTCACCCTCATGAGTAAGACTTTTACCTGATTCAGCAGAATTTATTGGCAACCTTCAACACAAAGTCTGATCTGACTATTGGATTTCTTGTTAGCCAAATCAAACGGCGAAGACTTGAGAGAAAACTCTCATATCAACATTGAAAACGTCCTCTTCAGGCAAGCACAAAAATTTCAACCAAACAAGTCCAGTCCCAAAAGGGCCCCCATGATATTTCCTGCTTTAGACGTCCTCCTCCTTTTTAGATTTCTTCTTCTTCAGGTTGTATTCCAGAGTTTAATCTATTGTTATATTGGAACCAACTACCGAGTGTCT